GTAATTAAAAGAAAAGTACTACGTTAAAACCAGTGTCAATTCTCTTTTTCCATTGGTAACTCTTCAGGAAGTAATTAAAAGAAAGCCTGGTTTTAGCACCAGTTTACAATCCGCAAGTCTTGTATTAAAAAAGTGGAATATGGCCAGGCATTTGTGGCTCACACCTGTAATCCTAGCTACTCAGGACACTGAGATCTGAGGATGGAGGTCCAAATCCAGACTGGGAAGGAAAATCATGAGATTCTTATCTCCAATTAGCCACCAAAAGTTGGAAGTAGAGCTGTGGCTCAACAAGGAGAAATCTAGCCTTGAGCACAAAAGCTCAGGTTCAGCCCCAAGCTCAGAATTCAAGCCCCAAGACTGGCACAAAAAATAAAATAAAATAAAAGGTTGTCCCCAAAAGACTAGTGGTTCGAAGGGATCTTTTCCATCAATGATTGTTGAGAATTCCAGATACAGCTGTTTAGAGGAAGAGAACATTAAAATCAGGGCTACCAATAAGTAATATCATTCACTTAAAAGATGCCAAGTGTTATTTACAACTTGTCTACATTGTGTTCACACTTGGAAGGTCTGAAATTCAAATCCACTCTTCCCTCTGAATTACTGAAAACATGAGCCTTGATTGTTGATAACAAAAAAAAGGCCAGCTTATAGTGTGTGATCGATCATTTGGAAAAGACTTTTTTCACTGTTTTCTCCCAAGTCTCTGAAGTCCTCTTCATTGACTACTTCAGTATTCCTAAAGAAAAATGGCCAAGTTGAAAAGTAATGGTATTTCTGAGAGTCCCAAACATTTTTCTTTCTAATGTGTGTATGTGTGTGTGTACATGCTTGCCAGTACTACACTTGAACTCAGTGCCTCAGTGCTGTCTCTTTGTTTTTCCCTGAAGACTAGCACTCTTCCACTTAGGCCACAGATCCACTTCTGGCTGTTTGGAGGTTAATTGGAGATAAGAGTTTCATAGACTTTCTTGCTTGGGCTGGTTTTGAACTGTGATCCTCAGATCTCAGCCTCCTTATTATCTTGTATTACAGACATGAGCCACTGGCACCCAGCCTAATTACTTTTTTAGTTACTTAATATAAAATGATGAACTGAGTAGACATTATATTTTAATTTCATTAATAAATAGGTTCTTTCTTTAAAAATAATAATAAAATAATTCAGAAAAGATTAACATTAATGAATTCAGAATTATATATTATTATTATCATCATCATTATTGACAGCTGATACCATGCATTGAACTCAAGACTTTGTGTTCTCACTCATCTTTCCTGCTCACAGCTGGTACTCTACCACTTGAGCCATGTCCCCAGTCCTGCTTTTTGCTGGTTAATTAGAGATGGAGTCTCACAGAGTGCTTCCTAGGTTAGCTTCAAACTGCAGTGCTCCAAGTCTCAGCTGCTTGAACAAATAGAATTACAGGTGTTAACCACCGGTACCTGGTTTTCATTATTTTATTTTCTACCACAAAACATTTCCCTACATTCTGAATTAAGAGTTGAGCAAGTCACATGAGCTGGTCTTCTTCTGGAAGACACGGAGGCACTAGCCTGGGCTCAACTCAGACCAGCTTGGCTCTGTGAGGGCAGTGTTTTATTTTTGCCACTATGAATCTTTGTATACAGGAAAGGACCTCATATTCTGGACTTTTTCTCTTCTCCATGAAATTTGACAGAAAACACTTCATTTCCCAATATTACTTCCTTTCAAGTGATAAAAGAGTCATAGAGTAGTTTGATAAGCAAATCCCTGGTAAGTTTTGATCACTACTAATAGTGAGGGAGCTGACACATCTAGAAAATTCTTATAGAAGAATAACAATAATATTGTTAATAGCTCCAGATGCCAGTCTCAAGCCTGTCATCTTAACTACTTAAGAGGCTGAAATCTGAGGATCACAGTTCAAAACTAACTTGGATAAGAAAGTCTGTGAGACTCTTATTGCCAATTAATTCCCCCCCCCAAAAAAAGCCAAGCTGTAAGTGGAACTGTGGCTCAAGGGGTAGAGTGCTAGCCTTGAACAACAATAAAAAGCTCAGTAAGAGCTCCCAGACCCTGAGTCCAAGCCCCAGGTCAAGAAATAATATTAGTAGTCCTAATAATAGTAGTCATAATAATAACAACAATAATGATAATCATAATACTGTTAATAGCTAAAGTTCACACGAGCTTTCTATGAGCAGGCCTGGCACTCAGTTATTTTTATCCTAACAATAACCCAGTAAGATCAATTTACATCACTCCTATTCTACAAAAGAGAAAATGAGAGCCTATAAATTTAAGAAGCTTGATCAAGATCACTGTGCATGCAGCATTTAGAGCCAAAGTGATTTCAAATGCTCTACTTATGTCCTACTTTTTCGACATTATATTTTTTCTTAGCTATTTTCTGTGAGGTATTTGTAGACAAGTGACTAACTGGATGGGAAAAAAAAAAACCTGGCACCAGCTGAAACATCACCAATCTTGCCACACAATGGTTTTAACAGACACTAATCAACCTCTTTTCATTTTGGCTCCTCCACTCTACCTTCTCTGACAATGAAAGATTTCCAGGCAAAGGGGAAAATGAATTATAGATCAGCATCTCATGGATAGAAGCTACTGAAGATCACTCAGCAAATATTTCTTAAGAACTCACTCTAGGGACTGGGGGTATGGCTCAAGTGTGAAGCACCAGCCATGAGATAGAAAGCTGAATGAGAATGCTTAAGGTCCCAGTTCAAGCCCCAGTGCTAGGATAACAAAGACAACAAAGCAAAGCAAAGCAGTATAGCCAAAACATCAGAGAACAAAAAAAAGCAAATGGAATTATAGAATTATGCTCAATGGCAAAACACATCAAAGAGTGGACTACTAAATAAACCAGTTATGTTTACGATGTCCCAAACAAATGAAGACGTTAAACATAAGGAACAAGTACACTAAAAATATCTGATCATTGTGTAATAATCATTTGAAACTCTTCAGAGAGTAACTGCAAGAAATGACATAACCTTGGGTGGTTAAAGACTAATCTATAGCAATTTGTTTCAAATTCTCTTTCACTTGTCTGAATGTCACATCTCCATGTGCAGAAAAGTATCTGAATGCATGTATTATGGGAGTTTGTCTTCTCTGTAACATTGTTTCTTCTACTTGTTAACACTAATTTTCATTCTAATATTGCAGTAGTATACTCAGGATTTGGCTTAGGAGGATATTTGCTGTAAGTGATGAACTTCTTATTTCTGATGAACAATCTACATTGTATTACAATGTGGTTATTTGCACTTGAAAAAATGAAATATATTCTCTGAAGATGAGATGTACTGTTATTTATGTGTCTATGTTTACTTAACCTCGAAGTATAAGTACATTGTTAGAGATGATGACTCTACAAGTTTATTTAGCTCTCCTGTTTTCATAGGGAAATATTTCCAAATAATAAAATCTACTACCATCAGTGGGTGTGTCTTGTGTTATTAGCTCGTGATGCTATATTTGTGGATCTGTAAACACCTTTCCTACTTGGGTCTAGTCACAGGAAATTACAAATACATGGATATTTCCTCTGCTGTTGAGAAAAACCAAAGCCCACGTGGGCAGAAAGTTATTCAAGCTAAGCAAGTCATCTAATAGAAAATCATGAAAGTTCTTATAGGAGAATAACAGTAATATTATCAATTGTTAAAATTTACCTAGGGCTTTCTATATGCAGCTTTAACACTCCATTCTTTAACGATGTTATTTTCATCCCAGTAACGGCCCAGATAGATCAATTTGCACCACACCTATTTTACAAATGAGAAAGCAAGTGCTTAATATATTTAAGAAGCTTACCAAAGTTAAACAGCATTTGTGGTTTAATCTCTGAGTTGACCATCATTTTCTACATGTTATATAAATGCAAACCTTTATTTTCATGTTATATTTATTGCTTTAAAGTAATATGGAATTTTACTACCCCAAAGGATCCATAAAATGGTGCCCAGAAATTTCTATTCTAAGTAAAATACATTACCTACATTATCATTAGGGTTAACATTTTATATATCGCATTAAAGTTTATAAGAAAGTATTGATTTTATTTGGGGGGCATAGAATGGAACTTCTTTTTTTTTGTCAGTCGTGGGGCTTGAACTCTGGGCCTGGGCGCTGTCCCTCAGCTCTTCAGCTCAAGGCAAGCACTCTACTACTTGAGCTACAGCGCCACTTCCGGTTTTCTGGTGGTTTATTGGAGATAGGAGTCTCACGGTCTCTCCTGCCCGGGCTAGCTTTGAACCGAGATCCTCAGATCTCAGCCTCCTGAGTAGCTAGGATTACAGGCATGAGCCACCAGCGCCCGGCTTAGAATGGAACTTTTGACCAAGTGTTCTCATCCCTTGACTAAATTTGCCTCATAACATCCATCAAGTGTTCTTTAAATCTCACTATGCTACCATCTGTGTTAGGCTTTGGTGCATTTTTTGATTCAGAGAATATTGTGTGTATCCCAAACTAAAATGCTGTTTTTTAACAACAATATTTATCTCCTTCTTCATAACTCAGTGGAACCTCCAAATGATATTATCATCACTTTGTGTGTGTGTGTGTGTGTGTGTGTGTGTGTGTGTGTGTGTGTATACCAGTCCTGGAGCTGGAACTCGGGGCCTAGGCACTATCCCTGAGCTTTTCTGTTTAAGGCTAGTGCCCTACCACTTTGAATCACGGCTCTTCTTCTAGCTTTTGTGGGTGCTTATTTGCAGGCAAGAGTCTCACGGAATTTCCTGCCCAGTCTGGCTTCGAACTGTGATCTTCAGATCTCAGCCTCCTGGCTAGCTAGGATTACAGGAGTGAGCCACCGGTGTCCAGCTTATTATCATTTCTAATAGCCCCTACTTAATGGAAATGCAGCAACATTCAGTATGATGTACAAATGTTGGTTAAATTAATTGCAAGTGGGGACATGTAATTGTATACAATGTACTAGATGAGATTTATTGATTCATTACCTAAATTTTCATTCCAGGTCCCCCAGGTCCCCCAGGTGGTCTGAGAATAGAAGACATCAGAGCCACTTCTGTGGCACTTACTTGGAGCCGTGGTTCAGACAATCACAGTCCTATCTCTAAGTACACTATCCAGACAAAGACCATTCTTTCAGATGACTGGAAAGATGCAAAAACAGGTGAGCTCTGTGTATGTGTGTGTGTGTGTGTGTGTGTGTGTGCACGAGCGCGCATGCATGCGTGCGTGCACACGCACTCATGGGGAAATTTTAATAATAATAAAACAGCTTAAAGCCAGGCATGGGTGGCTCATCCCTGTAATCCTAGTTTACTCAGGAGGCTGAGATCTGAGGTTCACAGGTCAAAGTCAGACTGGGCAGGAAAGTCTGTGAGACACTTATCTCCAATGAACCACTAGACAATCACAATCAGAAGTGGAGCTGTGGTTCAAAGTGGTAGAGCACTAGCCTTGAGCAGAAAAGCCCAAGGACAGTGCCCAGGACCTGAGTTCAAGCTTTGTGACCAACAAAAAGAAACAAACAAATACATAACAGCTTAGAGGATGTTGGTAGCTCATGCCTGTAATGAGCTACTTGAGGCTGATATATTTGAGAGGATTGCTGTTTGAGGCCAGCCCAGGCAAAAAGTTTGAGAGACCTCATCACAACCATTTACTGGGTATAGTGGTGCGGGCCTGTTATCCCAGCTACAGGAGAGCATGAGAACAGGAAGACTAGGTGATGAAGTTCAGTAGCCCTATTTCAATATATAAAGCTGAGCCCAGGCTAAAGTAAGACCCTATTTCAAAAATAATGAGCAAAAAAATAGGGTGGGGGCATGGCTGAGGCAGTACAGCATCTGCACCAGAGGCACAAAGCCCAGAGTTCAAACCCCAGTTCTGCTAAACAAAACAAACAAATGGGAAACAAATAAATAGCAACCTGGAGATTTTCTTTTTTACAATGTAGTTACCTATTTTGAAATGCTTTCTTTCTCAAAACATTTATATTTCCTCTTCCAGTCCTTTAGTTGTAAACAAAATGACAGAGAATTTGTGAAATGATGTATGTACTATTGGCATAGAAATCTAACATCCTCCCATACTTTTAAAACGTCTTTAGATTATATATAATACCTAATGAAATCTAGATGCTATGTAAAAAGTTGTTATACTGTATAGTTCAGGGAATAATAACAAGGAAAAGATTTGTATATGTTCAGTACAGATGCAACAGCCCTTTTTTTCTAAGTATTTTCAATTTGCAGTTGGTTTTATACGTGGAAGCAGACCTCATATGAACACAGGGGGCATGTGTAATATAGTTTTCTGCAATTGCTTCTAAATAATTTACGAGAAGAAAGAAGAAATGTGTCTAATTTCTATTACTTGTGCTCCTGATTTCCTCCATGCTGTTTCAGGTTACTGTCTAGCTGAAGAACTTCCTTTAGTATGTATCTTGTAAGACAAAACTGCTAGGAACAAATTCTCTGTGTGTTTTTTCAGTTTTGCCTTTACTTTTAAAATGTAGTGGTTTGTGTGTGGGGTGTGTGTGTGTGTGTGTGTGTGTGTGTACCATGGCTTGAATTTGGGGTCTTGCACCCTCACTTGGCTTGCTTGCTCAGGCCTGGTGCTATAGTACTTGACTCATATTTCCAGCCCAGTTTTTGGTTGGTTATTTTGGAGGTGGAGTCTTAAGGACTTTTTTCCCCTGGTTTGACTTGGAACTTGGATTTCTCTGTATCTCAGCTTCCGAATAGTTAGGATAACAGTTACAAGCTACCAGCACCTAGCTTAAAATGTAGCTGTATATGATATAGCATTTGTGGCTGACAAATTGTTTTTTGTTTTTTAAAGTTTTGAATATGTTAGCTTAGATTCTCTTTATTGTATCAGGGTAAAAATATTTTTCTTCTAACCTCAGTTTTTTTTAATGGTGTTTGAAAGTCTCTTTATATTTACCAATATATTTCTTTCTGGGAATTCCATTCCTTCCTGTAAAACTCGATTTCTTTCTAGCTGAATTCCCATAGTGAAGAACTTTTTTCTAGTATAATTCTCATAAGTGAAACACTTCTTATAATACCTTCAGATGCTTGAGTTTCTAAATCTTCAGATTTAGTCTATCAGAATATATCTTTAATTTCATACTTAGGTGTTGTGTTTGTTGGGTATAAATACAAAGTTGTTTTGTCTTACTTTGAACACCTTAAGAACATTGTTAATTTAGGGTTTTACTTCTTTTTGGGGGGGGTCATCATTACTTTGTTATTGTTTTTGCCTGACTACTCCCTGATGCTAAATCAGCTGTGTTTTACCTTATTTCCTTCTACTAATTGGTCCATTTGCCCTGGCTGCTTTCAAAATTCATCTATGTAGGTTTTGTTTTGTTTTCTGGCTTAACAAGAATGGGAGTTTTCTGGCTCCTTGTATTCTCAGATTGCCTTCCTCACCTTGGGAAATATCTCAAGGATTATCGCTTCAAATGACCTCACTTCCCTCTCTCCCCACTTTCTGCCCTCCCTCAACTCGTAGCTTAGATTGTTTCTATTGTTCCAACATCTGGGACTACAGCAACATTTCCTCACTTCTATGCAAGTCATGAGATTTATCCCCCTGTGTTTCTTCACAAATTCATCTGTAGTGAGCTTTGGGGGAAAAAAAAGTGGGGGAAGCTGAAAGTGGCACTGTGGTTCAAGTGGTAGAGCGCTAGCCTTGAGCTGAAGAGCTGAGGGACAGCGCCCAGGCCCAGAGTTCAGGCCCCACGACCAACAACAACAATAAAAAGTGTGTGTGTGGGGGGGGGGTATTTTACTGGTTATCTGTGTGTTCTTTTAGTTAATATACAAAAGAGGAGTTTTCTTGTGACTGCATTTTCAGTGAAGTGAAAAGAAGCACTATCCTTTTTCATCTTTACCAAATTGACAAGTGGAAACAATGAAAACTCTTGGGGCCTATTGTAGAATATTTTTTTTGTTACCTTTATTCCATTCTCCATTTTTTTCCTTCCTCCCTTGTCTCTTCCGTTCTTCCTCCCTTCTCTGCTTTCTCTCTCCCTCCTTCTCCCTTCCTTCCTTCTTCCTTTCTTTCCTCTCTTCCATCCTTCTTTCTTTCCTTCATCCTCCCTCTCTCCCTCCCAGCGTCCCTCTTTTCTTCTCTCCTTCCCTTTCGCCCTTTATTCCCCTTCTTCATCTCTTCCTTTCTTGTTCCTTTTCTTCCTTCCTCCTTCTTTTCCTTCTCCACTTTTCTCCCTCAGTTCCTTCCTTCCTTCTTTCCTTCCTATCTCCTTTCTTTGCCTTTCTGTGGCTTTACTTTCTATCATTCTTACTCCAAGCATGAACTTGTGGATATTTTTGAGGCCATATTCAGATTTCCTATGCAAACAGGTCAATAAATCCCCTATGCTGAGATGCCAGTGCCCAGCTTACTTCTTTTCTGCTATAAAGCACCAACCCCAGGCTGTAGCTCCTTCCTGTGCCTTCCTAGATTGTCGATCTACTTTTAAGGCTGGGTCCTGGGCTTGTAGACAAAGTGAGTAGTGTTAGAGCCAGTGAGATGCCTTGAAATGCCCATTTCCAGTCTTTTTTTTAATTTATATTTTATTATGAAAATACTGTACAATTACATGGGCAAGATAATGTGTACATTTCTTATCAAGCATTGTAGCCTCCTCCTTTGTTTCCCCTTCCCATCCCTTCCCAGCCTCCCCCTGCCTCCCCACCCAATCCTTCCCCCCACCCCACCAAAGTTGTAAAGTTCATTTTCGACATGACAACTTGTACTTCTCATTGTTGCAACGGGTCCACCTGTATCCTTATTTAAGCGACTTGTTTTTCCCCTTCCCCTCCGCAAATTGTACCGACATCAAATACAGTGAAAGCAGGGGTTATACTGTGGGGGAGGGACATACAAAGCAACAAAGAAATAATCTTATAAATGTGTTAGAAACAATTGCATGAAAGAAAAAAAAAACATTTGAATACATACCTTAGGATTCATTTTCCTAAGAACTCTAATAACAACAGATGCTGGAGGGGATGTGGCCAGAAAGGACAGTGACAGTGTAAACTTGTTCAACCACTTTGGAAAGCAGTATGAAGGTTCCTCAAAAGACTTCACATAGAGCTCCCCTATGACCCAGCTATCCTACTTTTGGGCATTTACCCAAATGTTTACAAACAAGACCACACTAAAGCTACCAGCACAACTATGTTTATTGCAGCATTATTTACCATAGCTAAGATATGGAACCAACCCAGATGCCCTTCAGTAGATGAATGGATCAAGAAAATGTGGTATATATACACAATGGAATTCTATGCTTCCATCAGAAAGAATGACATTGCCACATTTGTTAGGAAATGGAAAGACTTGGAAAAAATTATATTAAGTGAAGTAAGCCAAGCCCAAAGAAACAGAGTTCCCATTTCCAGTCTTAAACACAGCCCTGCTGTTCTAATTGGAGCAAGTGAGTGGTGGTTCTTCCTAGACACTTGTAAATGTTTAGCTTTTAGATTGAGGTAGAAGATTCTAATTATTACAGTGGCTGGTGTTATGCTTAAAGCAATCTGTGTTTTCATCTCACAGTTATTCTAGCTGTTTCTGAAATGGCTCCAACACAGACAGTGTATCTGCAGGCCAAACACTGTAGCACAGCTTCCAGGCTACTATAAGTTTTTCGGGCTTAGGATGCATATGATCCTTGCTTCTCTTTTCTTCAAAACAAAGTCACAAACTTTATTCTGAGTTCTACAGGCTCCAGGTATTAATTTGTAAGTACAGCTGTTTTGTACCCGTGGTTGATGTATTTTTTTTTTCTCTTTGCTGTACTGAGGTTTGAAGTCAGGGTCTAATGTTTGCCAGGCGAGGGTTGTAATACTTGAGCCATACCCTTCAGAACACTGTCCCTTAGCTTTTTCATTCAAAGCTGGTGCTCCACCACTGGTGTGACAGCTCCACTTCTAGCTTTTTGAAGGTTAATTGGAGGTAAGAGTCTCACAGACTTTGCTACCCAGGCTGACATTGAACTGCAATCTTCACATCTCAGCTTCCTGAGCAGCTAGGATTACAGGTATGAGCTACCAACACCTGGCTCTAAATTGAAAGTTCTTAAAAGGTCTTTGTCTAAAGTACTCCAGTAAGGAGAATGGTTTTTTGCTTTATATAATTTTTGCATGAATT